GGAGTTAGAAGCAAATAATTAGGATGTCATCTGAAATCTAACAACCATAGGTCATACTATGTACAGAAAATACCGTTAATGGTCAGTATCATCTCTGTTTACAGTGGCATTACCGTGCCGTCAACCTCGTATCGGTTCGGCAGTGGTGCTTGTCTGCACCCGTAACACATCACCTCACACTTCGTCGTGTTAAAATATAACTTATTAATTGCACTCTACTGCTTGATCCTATCTATATATCGCTGAGGCTGCTCACAATCCGAAACATCCGCTGCTGCCGCCGAAAAAAACAGTTTTAGGTCTTCTGCAAATAGGTGACACTTCGAAACCTCAACGAACTTTTGAAGATCATTTATCATTACACATGTTATTCTCCTGGCTCAAACCTGAAAACGTGAAGAGAATTTCAGGTTCATACTCCGCGTACTCGATGTACTGTAGGTGTTCACCACGGAAATTCGCGAAAAATTATAAAACTTTAAAAGATGGGATGTGAAACCTACCGTCGTAAATTTTCTAATAGGATTAACTTTTAAAAAAGAGTAGGCTCTATCGTTGGGGTTTCCTAGGGAATAATCGCTAGTGGTAATCGATTATACAAGGAAGTTGTGCGAAGAAGAAAATTTCTTGTTAATTTCACAGTAGTGGATCGCCAATCAAGCATATGGTATGGAAGGTATTGCGAGTTTTATCGCGATGTGCGATCGTAAAATTAAATTGCTGGTATTAGTCCGAACAATTCCTCTGAATACTCCCCGTAGGAGATGCGATAAATAGGCAAAGAAATGCAACATCTCTTCACAGGGTCAATGAGTCAAGCCGACCAGAAAGAACTTGGTCGCTGACGGCTTGAACTGCTCTGCCTTGGATGCGATCACAAATTGTCACGCAGTTGTCTTGCACTGAAAATTGCGTGGTAATTTGCAAATGCGCTCGCGTCTCTAGGTAATTTTCCATGTTGCATTCTTCTCCGCAGCCTCCATACTCACGGCTAATTGATAAGCCTTGCCAGTGTCTAGTTTATTATTGACAAATAATCTCCGCCGAAATGTTTCACTGCTGATACCGCATACCAATCGATCGCGCAAACTTTCTTGCAACCAGCTAACAAATTCGCAATTCTTCGACATATTCTTTAGGTCCGCTACATACTCTAATATACTTTCACCGTCCCTTTGTTTTTTTTTTTGTTACAATTTAAATCTCTCAGCCAGCTGGACGACTGGATGTTAAAGGTAATTTTCTAAATTTTTTGTTTGCTCTAAAAACGTTTTCGATGATGGTTTTTACGGGGTACGCAAACCGACGAATAGTACATAACTCTACACCTTGAGGTGGAGACTTATGTACTATGTTATGTTACGGTGATTAACGGAAATACATGTAGCTCTCTTGGGATTTTATTTACCACAAAGAATTTTTGAACCTTCAAACATATAATCTCCAATAATCCGTGTATGTACTGACCGAAACTAAATTTCTCTCAAGTTTCAATAATGGTTTTTACTCTTTCTATAATAATACCACCACTCTCCTGGTCCAGGGTAATACATGAACTTTGAATATCAACCACTGCAAATTTAGGTACTAAAGAGCCTTCCTTCTATCATCTAAACTGATATTAGAATTAAGATAGTGTCGGCATATTATCGAGATATAAGTTGTGCCACGAAAGGCAACAACGATGAACCTCTGACGACAAAATTATCGTAAACCGTGCCAAAAGTGACGAGCCTAAATGGATGTATCCCTTATACTAGTGCGAGGATTTTGGCTCTATGTTTAAAAGCTAACTAATATTGTGTTTCTTTTTTTTACTATTTACCTAATCAGCGTATTGGTGAGAGTAGACAAGTCCTTTAATAATATTATACCGGCTTGCGCATACTTGAAAGAAGCTAAACTATTTTATCTCTCTCTGCTCTCATCTTAGATCTTAACCGTTGGTTTCAACGTCAGTATATGCCGTGTGTGTTTGCGTGTCTATAGAACTCATAAATAACATTGCCTTAGACTGATTTCAGTAGACAGACAGATCTCTGGCAAAGGTTTTTTAAAATTTTTGAGAACTTTTTTCTTTGGTTTGTATTTTTTTATATACTATTTACTAAACTTTTTATAATAATAAATTTATATTAAGGAGCATAAAGTTAGTTCAGTAAGAAGATCAACATCAATAAAACAGAAAGTTGCGATAGCGTCTTCGCTATATCAAGCTTTGGGTGCCTGACGGCTAATTTATAGGTTAAAGTTCAAACATATAACTTGTCATGTCCCTACCTCCCCATCCAATTAATATATTATCGAAGAATTAGTACAATCACAAGACCTTTAACTATTTAAAAGTAGTATGTCGTAAATGTTTTAGTAGCTAATATAACTTTACTAAGTAAGTAAATTGATAAGTTCGTTAAAAGTATTTATATACTTTAGCTTAACTTAAACTTTATTATTAATTTATAATATGTATATAATACAAAAAATTTAATTTTATTAGAAATAAATATAGAGATATAAAATAAATGTAATAAATTTTTATAAAAGCTTTCCAATTTAACCTCCTTTCTATTCACGATGGAAATATAAATTTTCGCGCGCCATTCATTCTTAATTCATAAAGATTTCGAAGGCTTTATGTGCCCACCGCAGTTTATTTTCGTTTATCAAACTGATTTGATCCCTTTGCAAATATATTGTTAGCGTTATGTTATGTAATTTGAGTAAGAGAATCTGCATCCTTTGTTATTCCCTAGGTGTCGTAAGATTGAAAGAGGAAAACGAAATATAGTAAGGGGCCACCTCGAATTCAATGCAGCCGTAAGGGCTCCGCATGATACTAAGCACATCCTCATGCTGGAACGGATACAAAATAAATTTATTAGATATTTATATCTAAAAAACAGTATGGAGTATACCCATACAACCCGTTAAAGTATCCTACTTTGTTCATCCTGGGCATGGTGGTATATAACGAACAGAGGGTTAGGGGAGAACTGGCTCTGGTTTCCTATATGTTTCGTCTTTTAAAGGGCAAGATGAATAACCCTGAGTTGCTCAGGAAGATTAGCTTCTGTGTGCCGGGGCGCGACGCAGAGCGGAGTCTGGGGGTTTTTTCAGGGGGGGAAAAAAAAAAAAAAAAAAATTTTTGGTAACTCTTTTTTATATTGAATCATTTATGTAGCAGAGCCTGTGAACGTTAACAAGCATAAAAAGATTGAAACAGAAACAGAAACTTTTTTATTCAATATAGATTATAAACAATACTTATTGAAATTCACTTTTTTCATTTACCACTGGTTCGCAAAAAAACCTCTGTCCTGGGAAGAACCAGCAAGAAACCCAGAGGGACTTTTTTTCAAATAATAGCTTACAAGCATGTTTACAGTTAACAACACAAGACAAATAGACAAATAGAAATAGCTTGGTAGCGATCACCCTTCCCAGGGGTTATTATCATCCATAAATTCCTTAATATTATAATAACCCTTTTTATACTAACTTATTTTATAAAAAATTTTAACTTTGCGTATGACAATTTTTGTATATTTTCTGAGATTTCGATGTAAAAGCGTATACATCGCCCCAAGAATGAATTACTGACTCGGTGAAGTCGAGTTACTGGTACCACTAGCTTGTGTCTGTTCGTAGTATTTACAGAATGAATGTCATTTATTTTGCAAAACTACTTTTATTTTTGTGTGCGTACATTACATTTTCATAAATGTATTGATGGGCCAGATTTAATATATTAATTTTCTTAAATTTTTGTCTCAGTGACTCTATTAGTTTTAAATTATATATTGCTGTAATGGCCCTCTTCTGTAAAATAAATATAATTTCAGTGTCAGTCGCGTGTCCCCATAGCAAAATACCATACGACATAATGCTATGGAAATAACTAAAGTAAACTATTCTAGCTGTTTCAATACTGGTAAGAGTTCTAATTTTTTTTTCTGCGAATGTGACTAATTGCTATAAATTGGAAAAACAAGGACACTGGGACCGGTGAGCATAATATAACCAAACTGTGTTATTACAAAACAAAGTATACTGAAGCTTAAAATTATTTGTCGCAAATATTAGCCCTTAATCGCGGCACTGCTAATTTTCGTGAATTGAGTAAAAAGAAGGAAAACTCTTCAGTGTGTTTAGTTTAAGAAACTGTTTCAGGACTTCTATGCTGAAACAGACTCTCATGCTTAAACTTTCAGATTATCAGGCTGAAGCTCTATAATTATAATTTTCTTTTATTATTAATACGGTCAAAACTATCAACTAAACTACGTTTTGGTATAAAACCGATTACGTATTACTATACATATAAGATACAAAAACTGATAGTTTTAATGTCAAAACCATTGCAAATAATAATACATGGTTTTTTATATATTATACTTAGACTACTTAGAGTATTGTCATAAATATTATGTGTTTTATTGATTTATCTGAGTTGAACTATCAAAAACCATTAAAAAGTGTAACAACATAGAGCTCTCCTACACTCCGCCGGTGGCCCGTGTTGCTCTGTGGGCATCTACCAAAAATTCTCAGCAAAAATGATTAATTTATAATGTTCTGTGATGAAATGAGTAATCTATATTGTTATATTGGCTATAATAAATTAAGTTATAAATAAAATATAAAAGGGTGTCAGTTACAACAATTTAAAAGCTTACAAGCAATCATTTGTTTCTTGATTGTTGTGCGATATGTAAACAATTATCTAAATATTTTGTTTTCGTGTTTTAATAATATACCATTTTAGGCAAGTTTTAAGGGAAAATTGATACTTAAAATATAATAGAATCCAGACAATCACTTGTTAATATTTATATTAAAGATCTTTAAAATTCACGTGAATAATAATTATTTGCCTTGCACAGTTTGTAGTTGCTGCCCTCACTCAATTGCGCGCAATATCACCGTTACCATTATTCTCAACACCACTATTTGTGGTAGTGGCATAACTACACTTTGAAAGACACAACGCTGTCGATGATATGATACGTTTTCCACCTTTAAGCGTGGATTTAGCTTGCCGCCGGGTGAGCGTGGCACCATCAGAAGAATTAGACTCTGCTTTAGCTTGCCGCCGGGTGAGCGTGGCATTATCAGAAGAATTAGACTCTGCTTTAGCTTGCTGCCGGGTGAGCGTGGCATCATCAGAAGAATTAGACTCTGCTTTAGCTTGCCGCCGGGTGAGCGTGGTATCATCAGAAGAATTAGACTCTGCTTTAGCTTGCCGCCGGGTGAGCGTGGCACCATCAGAAGAATTAGACTCTGCTTTAGCTTGCCGCCGGGTGAGCGTGGCATCATCAGAAGAATTGGACTCTGCTTTAGCTTGCCGCCGGGTGAGCGTGACACCATCAGAAGAATTAGACTCTGCTTTAACTTGCCGCCGGGTGAGCGTGGCATCATCAGAAGAATTAGATTCTGCTTTAGCTTGCCGCCGGGTGAGCGTGACATCATCAGAAGAATTAGACTCTGCTTTAGCTTGCCGCCGGGTGAGCGTGGCATCATCAGAAGAATTAGACTCTGCTTTAGCTTGCTGCCGGGTGAGCGTGGCATCATCAGAAGAATTAGACTCTGCTTTAGCTTGCCGCCGGGTGAGCGTGGCATCATCAGAAGAATTAGACTCTGCTTTAGCTTGCCGCCGGGTGAGCGTGGCACCATCAGAAGAATTAGACTCTGCTTTAGCTTGCCGCCGGGTGAGCGTGGCATCATCAGAAGAATTAGACTCTGCTTTAGCTTGCCGCCGGGTGAGCGTGGCACCATCAGAAGAATTAGACTCTGCTTTAGCTTGCCGCCGGGTGAGCGTGGCACCATCAGAAGAATTAGACTCTGCTTTAGCTTGCCGCCGGGTGAGCGTGGCAACATCAGAAGAATTAGACTCTGCTTTAGCTTGCCGCCGGGTGAGCGTGGTATCATCAGAAGAATTAGACTCTGCTTTAGCTTGCCGCCGGGTGAGCGTGGCACCATCAGAAGTATTAGACTCTGCTTTGGCTTGCCGCCGGGTGAGCGTGACACCATCAGAAAAATTAGACTCTGCTTTAGCTTGCCGCCGGGTGAGCGTGGCATCATCAGAAGAATTAGACTCTGCTTTAGCTTGCCGCCGGGTGAGCGTGGCACCATCAGAAGAATTAGACTCTGCTTTAGCTTGCCGCCGGGTGAGCGTGGCAACATCAGAAGAATTAGACTCTGCTTTAGCTTGCCGCCGGGTGAGCGTGGTACCATCAGAAGAATTAGACTCTGCTTTAGCTTGCCGCCGGGTGAGCGTGGCATCATCAGAAAAATTAGACTCTGCTTTAGCTTGCCGCCGGGTGAGCGTGGCATCATCAGAAGAATTAGACTCTGCTTTAGCTTGCCGCCGGGTGAGCGTGGCAACATCAGAAGAATTAGACTCTGCTTTAGCTTGCCGCCGGGTGAGCGTGACACCATCAGAAAAATTGGACTCTGCTTTAGCTTGCCGCCGGGTGAGCGTGGCAACATCAGAAGAATTAGACTCTGCTTTAGCTTGCCGCCGGGTTAGCGTGGCATCATCAGAAGAATTAGACTCTGCTTTAGCTTGCCGCCGGGTGAGCGTGACATCATCAGAAGAATTAGACTCTGCTTTAGCTTGCCGCCGGGTGAGCGTGACATCATCAGAAGAATTAGACTCTGCTTTAGCTTGCCGCCGGGTGAGCGTGAAAACATCAGAAAAATTAGAATCTGCTTTAGCTTGCCGCCGGGTGAGCGTGACATCATCAGAAGAATTAGACTCTGCTTTAGCTTGCCGCTGGGTTAGCGTGGCACCATCAGAAGTATTAGACTCTGCTTTAGCTTGCCGCCGGGTGAGCGTGGCATCATCAGAAGAATTAGACTCTGCTTTAGCTTGCTGCCGGGTGAGCGTGGCATCATCAGAAGAATTAGACTCTGCTTTAGCTCGCCGCCGGGTGAGCGTGGCATCATCAGAAGAATTAGACTCTGCTTTAGCTTGCCGCCGGGTGAGCGTGGCATCATCAGAAGAATTAGACTCTGCTTTAGCTTGCCGCCGGGTGAGCGTGGCATCATCAGAAGAATTAGACTCTGCTTTAGCTTGCTGCCGGGTGAGCGGCGAGCCAGCTCAATAAATTAAAACAAAATGATAATATGAAAATAATATGCACATATTATTGCTTCTACTTTCCACTTTTTATCAACCATAAGATCTCGAAATGCGTGTTCGTAAATAGGCTGAAACATAACGAAATTTACACCGAACCAGTGCGAATTCACGAGTGAGTTAATGAGTTAATTAAAAGTAAAATATAATAAAATAATTTTATTTACAATGCAATTTTAAACTTCGTTCAATTTTTTCCGCGAATATTATTCTTATTTATATGAATTCAACGCCCTCTTACATTTAAAGTAAATCATGAGAAGGCTCAAAAGACCGAAACTTTCTGGATATCCCAGCTGTAAAAATAATATAACCAATCAAAACAAACTACTATTTACATTCCAATTAAACTGCCACGGATTCCCACATGATACATGACGAGATAAAAAAATAGATAAAGTTGAAAAATTTATATTTTCGAAAGTTATCGTGTTTGCCCCTCCATGCGGGCTTGATAAATATATACTATAAGCTGCTAAAACCACTTTTACTACAAATTTTTAATACCAATCAATCGATAAAAAAATAATATGTACAATATGATTGTTAGATACGATTTCATGCTACAAAACGTTGGAATCTTGATTTTTAGACCCTAGTAGAACATACCTACGCGCTTCGTGCTTAAGGCATGCAATAAATCCATGATAGTTTAAGGTATTTATGAAGCTTGGAAAAAATGGCTTGCGCTGGGTACGGACACATAATGAAACAATTACCTGGTTGCAGTGAGTAAAAAATTGTTTGATATATAGTTACTAACACGACTAAAATGACGACCCATAATCGTGTGGTGTAACGTAAGACTACTAGGATGGCTGATTCTAGATAATTTGGAACTAGAGCCAAGGAAAACAAGAATAATAATAAATAACAACCATGGCTATATAAATTTTATAAAGTGGATAATTGTTATTTGCATACTCAGACTAACAAACAAAGAATAAATAGCGCTACAAACATATCAAGTTATGCTAGAACCAACCCAAATGATCATGTTTATGCATCTAAAATAATTTACAGTCAACAACTTGGTTGTAGGTACATTTGTGTGCAATCAGCAGTGAAATTTTACGGGCTCATAAGAATAGAAAGTAGAAAGATGTTTGCGTGAGTACGTGACGAGAAGATAAGCATGATATTTAAAGTAAAGTTACAGACTATATACGTCCCACTGCTGGGCACAGGTCTCCTCTCATTTCTGAGAAGGTTTTAGGGCAAGGAAGTATCCGCCGCACTGCCCCAATGCGTGTTGGTGTCTTTGAAATATTTTTTTCTTATTCCTCAGACATGCAGGTTTCCTCACGATGTTTTACTTCACCGCCGGGCACGTGGTAAATCAGCACTTAAAATTGGAATTAACAATTTCATTGGTGCCGGCGGGGATCGAACCCGGGTTACTCACGTTCTGTTATATTTACAGCGAGCGTTAACCATCTGAGCTATCACGGCATGAGAACATGATATTTGCGACACTTGAAATGTACGCAAAGGCCATCGATCTTCCTATTTTGTTTTAGTTGTTGAATGTATTTAACATTCATTTCTATAATGTGACTAAAAAAATGCCCTGAAGATAATAAGGCTCCCGACAAATGGCGGAGCAACTCTCTCGTATGCAGGTGACAGAAAATGAGCGTCAAACGCCTAGAACTGCCTTGGCAATTCTGCTTGGCAAGCGTGGTAAACAAGGCAAACGGAACTTATGTTCTAGTCAGTGAACTGCTTATTGGCATACAAAGAAGTAGAAAAAAACAAATTAACATTGACTCTTTATCAAGTGTATTCCATAATTTAAAAAAAAAGTGAAGTTGTTTTAAACCCACAAGCACTAACAATAAATTGACAATCGTAGTAATAAAAGAAAACTTAATTCATAGTTAGTTTACAGAGTACAATCGACAACTGTGGTAACCTCAAATTTGTACGATACTTGAACTAATTTAACGAATGTTATCGAGTTTAATTTAACTTACTTTGTTTATTTTTGATAACCGACGTTTAAGGTGATTTACAGCAGTAATGAATATGGTGGAGAATGAGATGTGTGACGTCCCGATGTCTCAGCTAGCCCAAGCTACCTCCAGCTTTTTACATTAATTGATGGTTGCGCAAACTCATACATACATTTATATTAGTTCGTTAGATTAACCGGCAGAGAATGGAGGTTCCATTCTCGAGAGGAGTCAAACGAGCATACGACTCACCTAATGTTAAGTGTCTACCAGCGCCCATAAACAACTGAAACACCAGGGGAATTGCAGGTGCATTGTTGGCCCTTTTTTTCTTGAAGGTACCTAAGCCGCATCGGTCCGAAATAATCGCCGGTGGTAAACTAATCCACAAAGAGGTCGTACACGGAAGAAAACTCCTAGTGAAATGTACAGTGATCGACCGCCAAGCATCCAGATGATGTAGATGGTATCGGGATTTAAATTTTGTAATGTCCATATTATTGATAACAATATTAGATTACTAGAAATTAGTCCAATAAAATGTAAATGTAATCAGAAATCAAATTCTTGTTATTTGTACCAACAAAATAAAATGTAAAAAATAGTAAGTAGAGATCATTTCTTGTTTTAGGTATCGGGGGTGGTGTAGTGGTATGTGTGTGCCTCCATCCTACTATCATCATTATCATTACAGCCCTTCACAAGTCCACTGCTGAACATAGACCTCCCCCAAGGTATGCCACAAAGCACGGTCCCGAGCCACCTGCATCCATCGTTTTCCTGCATGTCTAACCAGGTTGTCACTCCATCTAGTGGGGGGTCGCCCTACACCTCGCCCACCGGTACGAAGCTGCCAATCGAGAACCTTTTTCCCCAACGGTTGTCGGTTCTTCGAGCTATATGGCCGGCCCATTGCCACTTCAGCTTCTTCTGTGCTTGTCGTCCTGGTTCTACTGCGGATATCCTCATTTCTAAGTTTATCACACAGAGAAACTCCGAAAATAGCCCATCCTACTAGTAGTGAAATAAATACAAGAACTTTTAGGTTTAGTGAGCAGTAATAAGGAGATATTGTAACGAAACAACCGTTTCTATTGGTCTGAACAATAAAACCCGAGAGGCAGTACAAAATACCTTTGAAGAAATTCGCCTAGCTGATTTCTTCAAGAACGGCAGCAATAGACTGCCACTGCGTTGGCAAAGATTCATTGATTGCATAGGTGATTAATAGAAATAATAAATATAGAAAAAAATACGTTAACTTATTTCATATAAAACAAAATTTTTATAGGTAAAGTCCTAATATCAGCAAGATAATTGTAGATTGAAATTCGGGTTTTTTTTTTATAGGATAGGGGGTAAACGAGAGGTAAACTCATCTGATGGTAAGTGATTACCGCCACCTATCAACAACTGAAACACCAGGGGAATTGCAGATGTGTTGCCGGACTTTCAAAAAGGAGTAGGCTCTTTTCTTGAAGGTCGAATCAAAGTTGTATCAATTGTTGTTTATTATCAAAGAAATTATAAAGTAATGACATAAGGTCTTTGTAGTAAACCATTTTTCAAGTAACCTCAAATTTGCATCATACATGAGGCATTTGCGAAACCTCATTTTATCCCTCAGCTAACCTTTATGAAAAATGTACGAGTTTAGCTGCCACATGCCACCATTTAAATAATAAATGTTACAATCTTCATCCTACAAACTCTTCCAAAATCTTCATAAATTATTGGTTTTGTTTACAACGTATACATAATATTTGAAAATCCCATTTAATTGAAAAACTTAAAATTATAAACATAATTTAGCTTAGCAGTTTACCAGTTCAATTAGCTGGTAACCAGCACGGAAAAGAAATAATTGTGGAAATATCGTTTCAAATTTGGAGGATTTATATTGATTAATTAAGAATGAATTTATTTTTCGTTTATATATTCAAATAAATATGTCGCTACGTTACGCGCGCCATCTACTGTAAATTGATTGTACTATGCCTAAAACCTTCGCGTAAGTACAAGTAATATTGCGATAAAACTTTGTAAACATATTGGCACTGGCATACATTATGGCTACGCATTAAATACGAAGAAACAAAAATTAATTCATTTATATTAAATAAATGAGGGTGACAAACAGGCGCACAGTTCATCTGACGGTAAATGAATGGACTGTGCGCCTATTGACACCTAAATATATCTTTATTTAATCTTAAATCATAATGTATATACATTGTTACCACAGATGGAATAATAACACATACTTAACTAAAATTTTGTCAAAATAATGAATATCAAATTAAAATGGACGTGATAGTTGAAAAGATTAAAAACAAAGGTTTTAATTATTTTTTTTGGAAACAAACAAAAAAGGTGATTCCTAAGTCGAGCATCCCTGTGAGTACCTATTGAGGATGTAAATGAGCCAGGAGAAATGACAAATTTATGCCAAGAGCATTTTAGGGTAAAATCACCGAACATTTCGTCGCAGATAGTGTTAGATGTTGAGGACAGCCAGACGGGCGCAGGCGTACCAATTAGCTTTACGCCGAAGGATGTTTTTGACGTAATTAAAATTTCTGCACGCAGGGCCCCATCTCTCCGAGCTTCTAACCACTTTCTACACCTTTTGCACGAAACATTTCTATCTTCCTCAACGGCTGATGAGAACTATTGTTGTGTCTATAGTAAAAAATAAAAGTGGAGATATATCCGACAAAGAGAACTATAGGCCCATCTCATTAGCTACTTTTATCGCTAAGATGCTTGACGGTCTGCTTGAGCGGCATCTCTGTGGGTCTTTAAAATTACATGATGCTTAGTTCGGATTTAAAAAGAGTCTCTTCACTGAGAGTGCAATATTAACACTCAAGCATACTGTGACGATACTATACCAATAAGAAAACACCAATTTACAGTGCCTTTCTGGATCTGTCCAAGACATTTGACCTAGTTAATTATTATATTCTGTGGAAGAAGCTGCGTGAAGTGTCCTTACCAAGCGTGTTGATCGAAATTTTTAAATTCTGGTATGGCCACCAAATAAATCAGGTCAGAAGGACAGAAGCACTGTCCAACGAGTACAGGTTAGTGTGTGTGTGTGTGTGGGGTAAGAAAGGGTGGCCTAACTTCACCAGCGCTCTTCAACCTGTAGATTAACCAGTTGATCGTTGAGCTCAGCAACGCTGGTGTCGGTTGCTCAATTGATGGGCATTTCATTAACAGTATAAGCTATGCAGACGACATGGTGTTGCTGAGCCGATCGATTAACGCATGACTGAGTATTTATGATACCTATGCTGCATGAGTCTCATGGTCTCATTTATAATGTAAAAAAAGAA